CCTGCAAGAACTTTAACTTACAAAGCAATGTGTCAGGCACAGAAATAACATTGTAATACAGAAAACGTTTTACTGACTTTCCCCAATGGAAATTGAGAAAATGATCTGAAAAATGTTCGATTTACGAGAAGTAAAAAATGCCTCATGCGAGTGCAATCATAAAAATTCGTTTGGCTAGCGTTATGCTGTCAAGCACCCAATATGCTTTCGATTTCGACGACGAATGGCGAAATCTATATTCCCAATTCCTTTTTGTGCCACACCCACAGGTCATTTTTCCACTGTAAAAAAAGAAAATAAACAGTTAACAATGTCCAACTCATTCATTATGTCACAAAGTATCAAACATTCATTCAATTGAGTGATGCATTTTGAATTAGATCATGCATTACAACCATAACCGTATTTCACCGACCATAAGGCACACGGTCAATAAATTGCTTAGAGTTTTTATTATTGATACATAATGCGCATCGGGCTACAACACTCAACACTACAACGGTTATCAAGGCAATAGTAAGCAATAGCGGTACTGGTTTTGACTGTAAGAAATAAAGCATAAATAAAGCTCCACCTGATCCATACATTAGGCGCACCGGTTTAAGTAAAAAAAAGGTTTAAAGTGCACCTCATGGCCCGTAAATTATGCCGTAAATTATGCCATATATGGAATATAAGATTGGAAATGCTATTATTAAGATTCTTTTAGGAACATTTCCTAGTAGAGAAGAGCAATGCTCATATATATATATATATAAGGACACAGAGGTCAAACAATTGGCCGCAGAACAGCATATAAGACTAATATAGAAATCTATCTGATCATTCAAATCAATTCCACTCAGAGAAGGACTATCACAGCCTATAGGTAATCTCTTAGAGAAGCACCAGAAAAAGACAACCAGCTCGACAGGATGGCACCTGCTGGCCAGTGTTAACTCTAAGCAAATTATGAGTGCGAAAGTGCTTCGCAGTCCAAAAAAAAAGTGCGAAAGTGCTTTTGCCGATTTTAACAAGTTAGGTGCCCTAGCCTTTCATAAAACCCATTTAAAACGGCATAGATACTCGAAAAAGCGCTCCTCCGGTTAATATTATGAATTAAAGAGAAGCCTTTTCGTTAACAGAGTTCCCTTTAAGCGAATTCATGTTTAATTAAAACAAGCGAATTCATCGGCAACGAAATGACATCTGCTAACACCTGCCGCGGACAAAACTTTCATGCAATGTATCACGGTGTCAGTTGCTTACTCGCGTAAACAGCAAAGACTTTCACATTTGTTACTCCTTCCATCTAACAGACACAGGCCGGCTGGAAACCATATTAGTTACAGGGTGGATCGTTTGTACAAATCCGGTGCAAAATAATAGAAGCTAGAAATTCAACTTTTCGATTCATCCCTAAACCTAATCTGATAATTATTAATTTGTGATTTTGAACCACTTTGAAAGTCGCCACCCGCTGTTTTAAAAGATAGGTTAACCTACGTTCCTTCCGAAATATTATGCAGGATACTCCCCTGTATTAGGAGATAGGTTGACCTACTTTCCTTTCAAACTTTTTTCTCCGAAATACCATGCTTCCGAAAACAAACAATACAGTAAAAAACTAATCCCATACCCGACTTGGAATGGTAACCGGACGAGAGGCCGTGGTTCGCCATATGGATAAGCCGTCTTATGGGCTTTCCTCTTCCCCGGGATAAATATGTAAATCCTATCCTATCCTAATATTACACAGATCACTTTGAAAATCCTCCCGTTTCGTGAGCTAGCGTGACCTAATTTCTCATTTACATTTATATTATACTATTTCAGAGCTTACCCAAAGACAAGTAATTTTTAAATGTCCACATGCCTTGGTTTGCGTGCGAGTTAGTTTAAATCAGGCAGAAACATCAATATATTGGAAAATGTTTAGTAATGTCATTGTACTTTCAAGCAATTCATAAATAGCACTCTTTTGTAATGCTGCTGACTAGTATCAATATTCGCATCACAACGCCACTTGCGAGGTTTCCATATATTTCAATTACACTAATAGGAACGATGACATCAAAGAGTTTTCTTTTGCGAAGGTACACTAAATATAACGAGGGTGTTCTTGAGAAAACATGAATATAAAAAATAAACGAATGATATGATAATGGATCCGCAAATAATTTGAGAGTGTCTCGAATACCAATCCATTTGATAAATAATTTTTATTCGACCACATGAACGCTGTTATCCTGAAAATTAATGTTGAAAGAGAATTACGCATTCTCAGATATCGGACAATCCAGTCGCGATATTCAATCGTTCATATGCACAAATCTCACATTAATAGTAATTGCTACCCAAGTTTGTAAATTTTAGAAACCAACAACAGAAAATAACTAACCCTAAAACAACATTAAAATTCAGTCAGCAATAATTCGTCGCCCAAGACGATGCCATACAAACAAAAAAGATTTGGTCGCGAAGAGTTACGTGAGATGAGTGCCATTGTTTTTTAAGCAGAATTTAAAAAAATTTATAATTAATAAACGGGAGTTACGACGCCCTTTACATCGTGTGTGTTTAACTTTCCTGGTGTGTACTTTGGTAAGTACTATTTATTATTGTACTATACACCCTGTTTGGAGTATTTCCGGACAATTTCGAATTTTAAAATAAATGAAAACAGACATATAATAAAGACGCAAAGTAAAATGAACATTTATTGAAAAGTTATTATTTAAGAACGCACAAATGATCGTACAATTCCGCCAAAACCTCGATGTTCGCAAGTGAGATGATAATAAATACTTCCCTGTATTCGATCAATTACTTTAGCGTATCGTTGTTCTGCCACAAAACAGCGGGGTGCAAATTATTTCCGTCCTGTGATATTGCTCAAATATTCTCGATATTATATCATAACCCTCGCGTATGTACTTTCTATTAGCTCTTTAGTGATCCCTTCCATCCTTGGCCAAGTCATGTTCGAAATATGTGAACATTTTATTCGACCATACATGGCCGGCGGGATGTTAAAATTGTAAACAGAGAGAGGTAAAATCAATCGCGAATTTCGTTATAACGGCTGCGTTTACGAATTGTTTGCGCCTGTTATCGTCGAAAATTATTACATTTGCTGTATTTTGAGGGCATTTAAGCAGTAATAATTAGGGCATGACATCAATCAAATCGTCAAGTGAGATCTTGAAATTGCAAATTCCGTAAATAAAATTGCGAATTATTCGGTAACGAATTCAGCTTTAATGACCGTCGCCGGGTATTGTTTTGTTGAAAATTATTATTATTTGAGAGCGCCAAAAACATACAGTCCATAACGATGCGACTGCAATTTATATGGTCGCAATTGGTGTGGCGCGTTTATTAATAGTGTAAAATAAATTAAACGAATATCAATTATAACCAAGCCTGTCAGCGTGTTTATTTTCTGTGGGGCAGGAATTGTAAAATACCATCTTGAGACAAATTCACTTCTATTATAAATCTTAATTTTCAGTTATTATCGTTTATAACAATAACGTTTGTCAACTTTTTTAATTTATCGTCGATCAAAAAACCGCCCCACACTCGTCAAACGTGTGTCGAGCTTGAACGACAGGAACAGATTCATCGAAGACCTTAATTAGGGAAAATATGTATTTTATGGGAATGCAAAATAAATGTAACAAAACGCATTTTGTGATATAAACTTTGTATTTTCGAAAACGTGTTGCCGTGAAAGGTAAAATTTGATCTAAATTAATTGCAAAAATGTTTTATTTTAAATGTAACAAAACACATTTTGCGATATAACCTTGTATTTTCGAAAACGGGTTTCCTGAAAAGTAAAATATGATCTAAATTAATCGCAAAAATGTTTTATTTTAAATGTAACAAAATGTAGCAAAATAATGATCTAAATTCACCGTAAATAATGTTTCATTCCAAATGTATCATAACGCATTTTTTGCGATATAATTTTTGTATTTTCGAAAACGGGCGTCACGAAAATTATTAATTTAATGTTTTATCTATCGTCTAACTAACGTCTGGAACACATCATTTTCGGGGAGAACTCTAGCCCGCGAAACGTCATTTAATTTAAAATAGAGAGTGTTTCACGCATTTCAAAACGGAAAATCACTAGTAAGTGGACAGGGATTCGGATTCAGTATTCTATATCCCTGTGTCAGAACTTTCTGAAGAATGGAACAAAGAACCCGTCAAACCGCCGCGGAAGAAGGGGAGTATTTTTTGCACTAATAATTAGGGCGTGACAACATCAAAATCGTCAAGAAACTGGTGAATTTGCAAATTCCATAAATAAAATTGTGAATTGCTCGGTAACATTTTAGCTATAATTATCGCCGGGGTATCGTTTTGTTGAAAACACGTTGAAACTTGAGGGAATTAGTTACAATTAGCGCCTGACCTCTATTAGGCACTCGAGCACTCGAAAAAAAAAGCACTCGAGCCCAATCTTTTTAGCATTAAGTCGCATACGTAAAATATCCTGTAAAAGAAGTGCTGTTCATTAACGTCATCTCGTCTTATGACCACGCAGAAATGCCTTTATAGCCGAACTATTCAATCACTAATTCAAATCAACATTCAGGATTGGCACAATTTCAGATTTGCGAAGTTTATCACCATAGAAATACATGAGAAAGTTAATTATCGTCTTAATAAATATCTGCATCACGGTATGGACAATAATATTACCATTCGCATAAAATTGGGACGGTAAATTTACAAATCTTGATAGGTAATATTGAAGCCAGCGCAAATGTTAATTTGAGTCCTCAATGTCTTCAACAGCTGTTGCCGATGTGAACGAACGGGTAAACCCGAAATATAAAACTTCGATGTCCGCCGACCCACAAGAATTCATATTTGTAAAAAAGAGAGGGCGGGAATATAGATTACCCAAAACCTGGATATCGCGCCAAAACGATCGGTGACAAGAACAATTAGCGATTACGACGGAATTAACCAGTAAAGAGTCTTTGTTGCCGATTTTTTAATGTTTCCACCACGTTTATTCGATACTCCTTAAAAATATTCGATTTAAAAAAATATTGAATTTTGCCCACCCCTCCTCGCATATCAATGAGAAATAGTTGTGTAAATATCGCAAAATTCCGGAAAATGCCACGTCCTTTCAACATTGTGATTACAATAAAATGGCACTTGATGGTATTTTGTGAATTTGTTGATTTTGCAAATCTGTGACATGCTGCTAAAAGTTTCGTCTGATTTGAAAATCGTGCAGTTTGGTCACAATTCATCCAAAGTGACTATAACAGGTTACTAACACTTTTTATAGTCAATTTGAATTCACCGATATCATCGATAGTCACATGACCACTCTCGTTCAAAGAAACGCCCCGGGAGCGTTTTTTGCGGGAGAAGCGGAATCCCTGTGGTTGTAAAATAATCATATTATAAACAAGAATTTTGCCGTTAATGCAAAAGCTTTATCTCCTATGTCTGCATCTCATAGGTTAGAATTCCGGTAAATATCGTTATGATATGCAGAATTGAGTTACAAAAGTACCAGTAACTTAATACTCGAAAATATTTGTTAACTTTGAATTTTTATTCCATTCAAAATCGGAAAAAAAGTGCTATTTCTCTTCAAAATCGGAGAAAAGTGCTATTTCGCAGTCCCTAAAAAAAGTTGCGAAAGTGCTTCGCAATTTTCGCAAAAAAGTGCGCTAATAGTGAACACTGCTGCTGGCGCATTATACAAAAGAATAAAATATATTGGATAGACATGAGACTCTGAAAAAAAACTTGGAAGAAATAAATGTAAAAGCACTGTATCGCTCTATTCCATCCCTTGAGTTTTGAAAATTAGAAATTGGTTGGTCCAATGGCAAAAGGATCCATGAGTCCACTTTGTGTCAGATCATATTTGTGCTGGAGGAATCATTTGAATTAGGCATAGGATTGTTCCCAACAAATTCAAATTCCTATAAGTAGTCCAAAACTTACAGGGAAAACACAGAAAAATAAGAACTCACTGATTCATCAGTTACTTTGTATTGATTTCCGAGCCAGTTCAAAAACTTATCTTGTTTTCTTGGTTTTCCACCTGGACACTGAGTAATATAAAAAATAGGTTACAAATTTTCGCAGTCATACAATCTTAAGAAAATTTGTGAACCAAACTCTAATTCTTGAGATAATCTGAAATTTTCTGAGATTTGGAAATGGATATATTATGAAACAGTAAATTCTTGATCATACGAATAATTCGCCTATTATAATGGGTATTTGGCACCTGACGGACATACAAAATAAACCTTGACAATGTGAAAAATAAACCATTTCTTTTGCATATATGATTACAAACTTAGAAGCATAGACGATATATATATTCAACATTACTGAATTCAGTTTGTGAATTTACAATTATTCCTGTCAATATCTGTGTTAAACATGAGCAATGAGCAATATTCAACGTTTTGATAATGTTTTCAGAATAGTAAACTATCTAATTTAGATATCCCTGGATAAAACATTATTATTATAAATAAGACATATCTAATTTAGATATGTATAGTACCACATTGTAAAGGTCATTTATAAAGTACCTTTTTAATTGCGGCCTTCACTTCATCAACGGAAGTAAACTTTATTTTTGCTGGAGTTTTCTTCTCACTCTGAAAAGAGAGGTCATGAGATGGATATAGTAGTCATACAACACGATATATATTTTAGGCAAGGTTGGACTGAGCACAATTTATTAAGCACTTACTTGGCAAGGCTAGAGGTGCTCTGGGAGAACCCCACTTAATATGGGATTTGCCATTTTGCCTGAAGTTTATTACAACTAGCAGTTAGCACCAATATACATTCAAAACCAATTTTGTATCAATCATTTGTAAAATGGGCCATCTTACTGAATCTATTCCTCTTTAGGTAAAATTCAAGCTTTTGAGGTATAATTAAGAGTGATTTTTTCCAGCTTGCAATTTGTGGAAAAATATCACTTTTTCACCAAAAATCCATAGTAGCGTATTTGTGAATTAAATTATTTGAAGCAAGGTTCGTCCTTTTATCTATAAACGTCGTTAAAAGCTAAATGTTGCAAGAAAATCTTGAGTTCAGGTAGTTTGGGGTTGCACTGAAATGTAATAGGAGACATTTCGCGGTAATTCGACTTAACTGAAGTGTAAGACAATAATGAGAATAATGTAAACGAGTGCCACTGGGATGCTGTCCATTTCATGTTGAGAAAATGTGGAAACAGTTCCTGAGGACTTCAGGCATAAGTTGATAGATCCAATTGACGTCAATCGACTCTTCACAGCATAACGTTGAGACGTCTTAACAAGTTGTTGAAGTATTCTTGACGGATTCTTTGCAATTGTAAGTGTATCCCACACTAGACATTTGTCTATGTGAATTTGGCAACGAAACAAATGTGTTCACGCACGATGTTCCAATCGAAGTCAGATTATGGGAAAAGGATATACTCCTACCATGTTTGAACGATGTAAGATACAAAGAAAAATTCATATCACGGAGATAATATAAGAAATTGCAAAAAATAAAGAAAGTAAACCTTACAAGGTGAAAGATGATATGTTTGAAATGAACAGGATAATCTTCCTAAACACTATGCATCTGGAATACTACTTGTATCTGAGCAAGCTGTCGCAAACCCTCTCAAGACCTCACACAAGCCCCTAACTTGCGTCACAGCATACATAAAAAGGGATACTTTTCTACTTGAGTGCATATTTAAGAGCATAACTATTTGAAAATCGAGTTGTAGGGCAGGAAAAATCATTGCAGTCAGCTTAAGTTACTATGAGTTCAAGCTAATCTCATACTCAGCTACCCGCAAAAAGCTTACATTCAGGTGAGGGCATCCTTTTCAGTTAAAAGAAAACCGCAAGCACAATTCACATAAAGGCAATGTTGTTAATGAAGTGGCAAAAGTACTTTTCGAGTGCTGATAAGTTGACAGGGACAAATGAGCTCAATATGGCGATAAAGTTCATTGTGATGAAGCTAATTTCAATGTAAAGATGTATCAAAAATCGAAATAAAGAGTCCACAGCAAGAAAACTATTGTATACAAGATCCAGAACCCTTTTCGTCACGTTCAAATTTGGAGCTTGCATGCAATCACAGTTATACCAGAACGAGACAATTTATGGTTTCAAAAAAGCACCAAACCAAGTATCTTTTGCATTACTGGGCACTGTGTGCCAACTCAAGGAACAAGCTTCGTGTGCAGGCTGCTAGTTATACCAGTCGCATACATATTCTACACTGCCCCTCACTAGTTGAAATAGCTTTATCTTAACAAGATGATATTTCTTATATATAAAATACAATAGTTTCGTTTTCAGCTGTCAGTTATCGGTAACTTCGAAAGTACTATTCTCCAGCGAACACTGGGACTGCCATTGGAAAAGGTCACAGCTGATAATTCTTAAGGCATATTATCAATTGGAAGACTACATGACATACAAGTGGAGTCCAACACCTTTAATTTGGATCTTGTTCACAAAGATATAAAAGTTTTATTCTAACCAATGTAGCATTTCTAATCACATTGGACTGTGATGATTAAATGGAAGGCCGCCAGGGCCTGCAAAGCCAAAAAATAATCGATCACTTGAGTCACAGGAAGATCTTAGATTCGTTCAGAGATGCATTTTGAAATTGTCCAATAGGTGTGCGAATTCGTTGTCCTATTCACAGCCACTGATTGCACAAACAAACTTTCTAGGATGCTAGCTGTTAAAGATGTGTGTTTAGGATGCTGTGCGAAGTACTTTACTTCTAATGCAATAGCAATTTCTTACTAAAATGTTCAAATGAAGGAGAGAAATTGATTTGGTGCCAGAATTACTGTCAAATCCATTATCAAAATGTATTTGAGAAACAAAACCTGGGCATTGTTACAACAGGCATGCCAGCATCTTCAATGCAATATCATTATGTTGCCATTTATGAAACAGTATCCTGACGATCGCCTGATTCAAGCATGGGTGGATGGTCTATGTTCATTAAGCACAGACTGCATCTGTTGTATTGGGGTAGGGTGAGACAAATGACAGCAATAACATTTGAAAAGAACATTCATTTGTGAATATACTGCTGTTAGTCGATTGTGTTTAATTGCTGCATTTTCTGAGCACTTCGGTGTGATTTCATAAAAAAAAAACTGGAGTGAATATGGTCGAATGTGGCCCACACTATGTTATATATAAATAAATATAAAAATAATTACTTTCGGTGTTTTGACCGATGTGTTTTTTTGTGAGACTGGAGTTTTCTGCTCTTGACTGTTCTTTTTTGTTCTTTCCGGTGATGTCAACTTATTCTCTGTAGTGGCAGATTTGCCATTGGTCAGTTTTCTCTAAAATAAAGCAGAGAGATTTGTTCATAAGTATCCTATCAGTACAATCATCAGCAAAACACATTCGTATTGTTTTATAATATCATATTAGCTCGCTCGTTCGAGTTTGGAAATAAATTCATTACGAATAAACAATGGTGCAACATATTTTGTGCAGCAAGATTCAACACATAACATAATAAGACTACTTTACAATAAGATAGGATTTCCAATTAACATATTTATCCCGGGGAGAAGAAAGGCGATAAGACGGCTTAATCATATGAAGGCGAACCACAGCCCCTGGTCCGGTCACCAGTCCATGTAGGGTATGGGACTAGTCAGTCAGTGATTTGTTTTTGGAAGCACGGATTTGATGGTGGAGAAAGCCGCAACTGACCAGCAATTATGTGAACGGCGAACTGCGGCAGGCGTATCCTTAATGCTTAGCACGATTATAGAATATTCATATATTACAGATGAGTTTCTGAAGATTATTTATGAAACAAAGTCGCAGATGTAACTTTTAAATGCAGCCATGGGTCCACAAATAAACTTTTAATAAACATTTTTGTGTGGGAATCGGCAGTTGCTCCCCTGAAAAACTTTTAAAATGATACCAAGGATGTTGTATTATCAAAAGTTGCACCAGATTAACATATTTTCAGCTATCAAACCTTTTTCGTCGGTACTTTTACTTGCTCTTTTTCCTCCTCGTCAGACCTAGAAATAATAAAATTTAGTTAATGAAAAATGAGTCTATGTTGACTCCCATAATAACCAAACAACGTATTTTAGTTCATTCTCTCACGACTACTCTGAATTGAATAACTAGGCAGCACTAGCACATAGTGGTTAAATTTTAATTTTACAATACTGATCACAAATTTTTATTATATTAATTCAAAATTCTCAATTAGATCTATTTTTTTATATTAAGAATTTATTTTTTTATGGAATACATTGATTTGGAACTCACTCATCGTCATCATCCATATCTTCATAGTCATCATCACTGGAAAACAAAAACAACTTTCTAAGTCTATCTAACAAAATAAGTACTACTGACATAAAAGTTCTATAAATACTTCTGTCTATGGAAGGCATTAAAGTTCTGCCAAAAATGTGATCCAACTTCTACATTTATTGTTGAGTCCGCCCACAGTAGCAAAAGAAGTCTTTCAATAGAGACAAAGTTGTAAAAACAGCAAGTCTCTGCCACTAAACCTTTGGCCCGCGACCGAATGCAGCCCTAAAGGGAAAATTGTGTGGCCTGAGGAGAAATGCTCCGCAACACGAGATTTTTATCTATTTGCGATGTAATTCCAATTCCTTTGCGAAGCCTATTCACGACTATAATTTATTATCTATGCCTATGACTTTACAATGTTTTAATAGCTAGCTTGTGCAAACAACGCATGTCCAAGATCAATAACCAATATTTTTGTGCCTGCAACTACTAGATAGCCTATGTTAAATAAAGGTGCAGTCGTGTTTCCACCAGAGGTATTTCTATATGGCCTGTATTAATTAAGGGTTGCACACCCCTGCACTAAATCAACTGTCAACAGACTGATAACCAATTGTTTTAAACACTCATTTCAGAGGTGAAGATAAAAAAAGACTTTAAAATGTTCCCCAATAAAATACCCCAAATTTTGAAACCATCAGATTCAGGAGTTAAATTTCTGACTTATAAGGTAGTAAATCGGGAGTTGAGAACCAGCCAAAAAATCGGAGCATTTCTGACAGACAATGAAAACGTAGTCGCATATGTCAATGCTTTTGTGATCAAAAAATATTTGAGAGCTGGAATGTAAGTCAAAACTCCCTCCGACGTGTAGTTGAGAGTCAAAACTTTTTGTGAACCAAGACTCCAAGAGTCCCGAGTTATTTTTTCCATTTATTAAAATTGGAGTCTGTTGAAATTTTCTCAACAGCCTCAATGTCTCAATTTCATAGTAACTCACTCTGCATCCTCGTCTTCATCGTCATCATCTGCCAATTTTGATTCCTGTTAATGTAAGTATATTGAATGTAATGAATAAATCTTAAGAAGATGATGTCAAAACAGAATATGTCCAAGGCACATCTTCCGGTGCACATACCCTTTTTTATGAAATTGAAGATAAAGTAAAACAGAGGCATTCATTGGAAAATTGAATTCTTACCATTTTGATAAAGCCATTTTCTTCTTCATCTTCATCACTAAAAATAACATTACCATATATAATCAGAACCAAAAAGTTTCATTTGTAAGATAGTGGTCATTGAAAGTAAAATTTCTTGAAACATTTATGCGGTACAAACGAAACTGTATACATATAATAATTAATAAATGCCTGCCTTTCCAGGCTACATTTTAAAAAAAAAAATATTAATATAAGACGCTATAACGCAAATATTGAAAATTCTTGTAGACGTGGACTACTAACTGGCTTTGAGTATGCAGTACAAAGACATGAAATAGTAAGAGCGGATAGTATGCTCTTACTTCTATACTTACGCTCGCGCAAGTACATATTCCCCAGATTCTGTACGGTTCCATTACATTGAACATGTGTACATTTGAACTCACGTACATTTGAACCACGTACATCTGAACCCGCGACAATTGCCACCTGCGAACTATTGCACCTATGGAATTTTTTTTGTTTTACGGATATTTGAACCCATACTAACCCTAACCCATGGTTTTAGCACCCGCACATAGATTGAATCCGCGGATATACGCATGGATGTACGGTCACCATTCTGTACATGATATGAATTATCCAAAATCATTTACTACTGGCTGTTGGTGTTAGTGACTGTTAAAAATTATCCATGGGTGAAAAACCTAAGAATCTTACTCATCATCCTCCTCTTCATCGTCATCCAACTCATCTGCTTTCTTCGATTGTTTTTTCGATTTTGAGCTCGCTGCATCTCCCTAACAAAATATATGTGTATAATAAGAGTAAAAGGAACAGACAGAATGTTAAATTGGATGTCGAGACATATTTTAATTTGGTATTGGGTAACTTGAATTACTTCGAACCAGAATTTTTAACCTAATACAGATAGTGGCTTAGATTAGGTGCATATGCAACTGGAACACATGTTGAGTTGATAGGATTTACATATTATCCTGCGGGAGAGGAAGTCGATAGGACAGCTTAATCATATGGAGAACCACGGCCTCTCGTTCTGGTTACCAAGTCCATGTCAGGTGTGGGTTTAGTTAGCCAGTTATTTGTTTCAAATGCATGGACTTGATGGAGGAGGAAGTCGTAACCGACCTGCGGTTACATGAACCATCCTATGGCACGAGAAGTCCAGCAATTCTTTCGCACCTAATTATTCCCCACATGATTTGAATCTCACGCAACCCAAGCAGGTAATTCCTGACAAGTACTTGAGATTTGAATTTCAATGAGCCCGTTACCTTCTAGGTCAGTGGTTCTTAAACTTTTTGAGTCGCGCCCCCCTTTGAAAAATTTTATAAACTTCGCGCCCCCCCCCTTTTTTTCTTTGAAAATCTGCTTTTGTGATGGGCTGGTTGATCTGTGGGTTTAAAACACACAATAATAACAGACTTCTCTGCTTGCCTAACGTCTCCAAAGTTCACTTCCAATACCCTTGGACAACCACCAGGTTCAAAAATACAGTTTACAAAATGGAGAAGTGTAAATGAATATATGTACAAAAAGAAAAGAAGTTCTTAAAGTTATTATGCATGTGGACGATTCCCCGACCTTGACCGCTGAAAAATAAAGTAGCATGACGTTTGCGATTGCATTTTGTTTAAATATCCGATTGTTTTCGTCAGCCGCGGCAGATTAAAAACACTTTCTTAGACGTTGCAAACCTCATAAATTCTTTGTGCCTGCGGCACACCTGTAATGTTCTAAAACTACCGACTTGAAATGAATTTTTCTCCGTGGGATTTATCACAAACTTGGAAATTTCTCTAACAATGATATCTGAAAATTAATCATGTAGCAGCATTGCAATTGGGCGGAGTAAGAGTTGCAGCGAATATGAATCAAAACCAAATGTAATCTGGCAGTTTACAACACATTTTTATGTCTGCGGATTGCCGTGGTATTTTGGGGTAGGGGTGCTTTTGTTTTATTAAAGCAATCGCAAGGTAATTATTTACAATTAAATAAATAAAGCAACCATTTTAAATATGTATATCGGTCATGGATCTAATATTTTATTCAACCATCACAAAAACCATTACATATCCATTGAAAAAGTCGGCCCTTCTAACGAGTGGCGTAATCTCAACGACTGACCCATGCAGGAGCCGTATCGCGGAATTTCGGGGTTACCTTGGACACAAAATAATTAAAAAAATAGAGAGACATTTTGAATTCTTGTTGTTAACATAGATTGAATATTACGAGACAGAAAAATTTATTATAATGTGAAAAAGCCGGCATTTTTAACACAACGCGGAGATCGTTTTTAGGAGCCGTTGCATGGAAATTTCTGATTCCATTTTGTGACCTCTCGCGCCCCCCCTGAAATCATCTTGCGCCCCCCAAGGGGGGCGCGCCCCCCAGTTTAAGAACCACTGTTCTAGGTACTTGAAGATGTGAACTTGCCATAGTTATACCCACCTTTCCACCTGCCATCTTCGCTTTCAGTTTTTCTCTCAAATCTTCCATTGATTCTTCAAAGTCGGACAAATCTTCATCGTCTTCATCAGACAGATCATCCTCATCTATCAAACATTTTTATGTTATATTCAGATAAATTATGTATTTATCCCATTTATTAGGTACGGTAGGAGAAAACCACCCATCAAGATATCCCAAGTAAGTTCCTCCCCCGGCATCTATCTTACGTTCAAGCTTTTGCTTAACATCAACACTTTTACAATTATTATACCAAATTATATCTCTGATATTGTGAAATATCTGATAGATACAGAAATATAGATAAATATAGAAACCTTCAACTCAACATAAAATATAACAAATACAGTTTTATGCCATAGTCATCAAAACCATAGTTTCAAATCTCTATGACAATCTCCTCAAATGAGCAACAGAAAACGGCATTTTTAGCAAATATGTCATTCTGCATTTTTATCTGAAAAAATTTTATTTCGTATTTTATACAAACTGAATACTTTATTGAACTATTTGTATAATCCTTTTCAAGTTTCATAATATTTTTGATGATACCGTTCCAATAATTTGACTTTCTAACACGGAAAATTGCAAATAGGGTGAATGTTTACGAGGTAAGGCTAAAAAGAAACGGGACTGACGTCACATATTGCACAACACGATTAACCAACGGTAATCAACACTTTTGCAGTGTGGCGTAATATGTGTTCTTCGTTTAATAACAGCTGTTTTGACACAATATCGCAATTATTTTTGCTTTTCAGGATCCATAAGTGAATGTGATAAATTTCATGTTGGAAAAAAAATGCTGTGCGAGGTCTGATTGAGTTTTTTGGCGATAGGGGGTTCAATTAAAGAATGACGACTGATCAAAGAATTAACATTAAATTTTGTGTCAAACTTGGAAAAACGGCGACTGAGACTTTGCAGACGTTGCGTGATGTTTATGGAGATTCTTCCATGTCCAGAACAAGAGTTTTTGAATGGCACAAGCGATTTGTGGAAGGCGGGGAGGATGTGGAGGATGATCCGAGGTCAGGGAGGCCTTGCACCTCCACTACTGATACCAACATCGAAAAGGTTTGGCAGTTGGTTCGCAGTGACCGTCGCTTAACAATTCGCGTCATTGCCAACGAAATTGGGATGGACAAAGAAACGGTCCGCATCATTTTGGTTGACACTTTGGGAATGCGAAAGGTGTGTGCCAAAATGATGCCAAAGGCTCTTGAGTTGACTGAGGAGCAGAAGGCTCAACGATTGAATGCATGCCGAGTTGACTTGCATTTTTCCAAGTTTGACAAAAAATTTAATGTTAATTCTTTGCTCAATCGTCATTCTGCAATTGAACCCCCTATCGCCAAAAAACTCAATCAGACCTCGCACAGCATTTTTTTCAACAAGAAATTTATCACGTTCACTTATGGATCCTGAAAAGCACAAATAATTGCGATATTGTGTCAAAATAGCTGTTAAACAAAGAACACATATTACGCCACACTGCAAAAGTGTTGATTACCGATGGTTAATCGTGTTGCGCAATCTGTGACGTCAGTCCCGTTTCATTTTAGCCGCACCTCGTAGGTCTGGACAATTAAGCATTGTCTATAGAGTCTTAAGTGAAAATGATAAAACTGATGTAAAAATCTCTTACCCATAATCAGATGACTGGCGACAATATTAACCGGCCCGCTACCTATAAACAAAAATGTTTTGTGTTAGCCATGAAAAAACATTCAATGCATATAAGGTATAAACAAATAGACGGCTTTTAAACAGTTTGTTATCAACAAGTAGAAAGATGATGTAAAAATTTAAATTCAGTGTAGGGCAATATCACTTTGTGAATTGTGATATTTATAATATTAAGCTAGACTAAATTGTATGAGTTAACTTTGATTAATTAGTAAGTTACTCACCTTCAACAAGAGTAAAATTAGCTGGAGGAAATAAAGGTAAATCTCCCAGTGTACGATTCTCATCTTTTCCAGCAGTTAATGCACAAACGATAGCTTTTATTTTATTTTGTTCACTGTCAAATGTTGTTACTTCAACTAAATTTCTTCCATCTTTAGCTCCTGGACCCAAAACAGCCTGAGAAAGAATGAAGAACTTTAAATGAGACAAGAGCATATCACGAGAAAAATATCACACACAATCTGCCAATGCCCAAGTACATCCGTTCAGTGTGAAAGAGAACCTAAAATTAATTAAAATGGTATATTGAACTGCTGTTTGTAAAAGCATTTATTGAAGGTATGCAGTCCTTATGCACAAGCAACGGAATAGAGGTAATATTCATGAGTATGCTGTATTTGATGACGTATTCTGGGTATAAATATGCATCAACTTCAGAGGAATGTTATTAAAGTGAGCATATGAAAAGGGATTCATTCCAAACTGATGACACCATTCCTTCAATTCAGGTATTACAGTGTGACAAAAATGCTTGCTTATAAAAATGTTTTCGCATAATCAAAATATTAGCCATCTTCATATGAAATCTTGTTAGGAGCCAAGTCACAATACTTTTTCTTAGTCCATTTTGCATTGTTTACCAGTTACCACCAATCATGTTGTGCCGGTTCTCCATGAAACCACACATTAGTCCAAATCCTCTAATGATTCATGAAATAACAGTTCAACATAGCAAACTTTGTACAGGCATTCGACTTGGCGATTCTAAAATTAACTTCTTGTGGGGGATCAATTTTAAAGTTGTATACTTAGCTTTGTAGCGTCTTGACCAGAAGTAAAGATAGTATACAAAGAAAGGTATGTTATGTCATAAAATATACATGGCAGGCAAAATTCTCTAATTACATTCAAATATTTTTGGCATTTTATTTTCAGAGTATTTTCAATCTAGCAAATATTAAAAAGGAAGCTGGTCCATAAGTTAGATTATGACAGTATAGGGTAATTTTTTATTCTTTCTCATCTTTGTCATTGGACATTTAATAACATTTCGTAATTACTGTTTTATAAACAGACCCAGACGCACATATTACATTAAGTTCCTGCTGAGGGCCACATGCTGACATGTTTCAATATGATCATCAGTCTGGAATATTTTGATAAAAATATGTCTACATTACATCACATCACATTATTTCACAATTTGGATGATAGTACAAATAATGAGCAAAGCAAAAATAAATATTCTCACCAATTTCAAGATTATTTGTTCTAGAGCACCATCTTTTCTTCCACCCCAACTTACTGTTTTATTTTCTTTGCTCAATTTGGCAACTGAAAAAAAGTAAGAATAACCATATAGCCTACTGATATGAATTAGCACACTTCTGCACTTACAGACTTATAAAGTCTGAAAGTCAGACGGAAGATGGTGTTTTTTATATTTATATTAAACAGTTTGAATGCCTGAATACTGAAATAGTTGATGAAGTAATTTTATTTATTCATTCTAGCATTTACTCAAATTCGGGTCTCCCTAAAACCAGGCACTTGCGATTTCAGGCACCATTTCAGGCACTTGGATATTTTTTATTTTTACCGTACGTCATTGGGGTTTCCAATTTACCTGACAAGATAATTAGACTTTAAATAATTTTTTGTATCCCTATATTGCAATAAAACAATATTATTTCCAATTTATTAGGGTATAAATAATTTTTCAATAGTAAAATGTGGCAACATTTATTACAAAATATAGAAATCAGGCACTTGTGAAATTTCAGGCACTTGGTCAAAACCTATTTTGCAATGTATCTGATTACTCTAAAGCAGAAAATTAAATATATACACTTTGTATGGTTGAATTTACAACATTTTGGTAAAATACAAAACCGTTTGTGACTGATGGAGACGTGTCATATTTCGCAAACCACTGTCATGCCAGCCAAATACCAGCCAAATATCAAACTCATATTCCCGAATTTCATATTAAAGTGTTTCCTGGTCTAACAAAATGTACTTTCTGACTTTCTACAAAAACTAATACTTTGGGACATCACGCTATCGGAGGATTTATATTCAGATGTTGATTTGGGAATATTACTGCAACTTATTATAATGACATGATATGGAAATATTCAATATTTGAAAAAAAAGTTCAATTATGTGAAAATTGAATTTTTTCATTAAAAATAGAATTATTTCAAATCTTTCCGGTTTCGGAGGAAAAGATTTGAATATACCATTGGCTAGAGCAGTGTTTTTCAACCTTTTTCGAGCCGAGGCACACTTTTTTCAGTGAGAAAATCCCGCGGCACACCACCAGCTGAAAATATGGGGAAAAGACCTAATATTCACAATATAAGTGTTTTATTGTTAATATAAGATTTTTAAAATTGCAGAAAGATGTTGAATAGGACATCCTGAATAGTAATCAAATAAAAACAAAGACAAAAAAAAATCGCCACCTAATGCTGCCACGATCTGATATATAACATTACTACATGATTACTCTGCCGGGCGCCACACCGCATAGACACACAACTTGGAGAATTTCCCACGGCACCCCTGACAATATTTAACGGCACACCGGTGTGCCGCGGCACCCCGGTTGAAAAACACTGGGCTAGAGGATTAACATAAGAACATATTCCGACAAAAAAATTGGAGTGATTTTCGAACTTTTTGAGGTTCGAAAATCTTTTAAGTATGCGAAAATTGAATTCTTTCCGGTCTTGGGGGCAAAGATTTGAATATACCATTGGATGGAAGACTCTATACAATGGTATATTCAAATCTTTGCCCCAGGACCGGAAAGATTCGGAATAATTCGATTTTCCATGAAAAAGTTTAATTTTTGTGTATTTGAACATTTTCGAACCTCAAAAAGTTCGAAAACTCGTTGGATGTCACTACAATTTTTTTGTTGGAATATGTTCCTATTTTTGTCTTCTATCCAATGGTATATTCAAATCTTTGCCCCCAAGACCGGAAAGATTCGAAATAATTTGATTTTTTGTGGAAAAGTTCAATTTTTGCATACTTGAACATTTTCGAACATCAAAAAGTCGGAAACTCTTAGGATGTTACCACAATTTTTTTGTTGGAATGTGTTCCTATGTTAGTCCTCTATCCAATGGTATATTCAAATCTTTGCCCCCGAGACCGGAAAGATTCGAAATAATTCGATATTTTATGAAAAAGTTCAATTTTTGTGTAATTGAACATTTTCGAACCTCAAAAAGTTCGAAAACTCGTTGGATGTCACCACAATTTTTTTGTTGGAATATGTTCCTATATTAGTCTTCTATCCAATGGTATATTCAAATCTTTGCCCCCAAAACCGGAAAGATTCGAAATAATTCGATTTTTTGTGGAAAAGTTCAATTTTCACATACTTGAACATTTTCGAACCTCAAAAAGTTCGAAAACTCGTCGGATGTCACCACATTTTTTTTGTTGGAATGTGTTCCTATATTAGTCATCTATCCAATGGTATATTCAAATCTTTGCCCCCAGGACCGGAAAGATTCGGAATAATTCGATTTTTCATGAAAAAGTTCAATTTTTGTGTATTTGAACATTTTCGAACCTCAAAAAGTTCGAAAACTCTTCGGATGTCACTACAATTTTTTTGTTGGAATAAATTTTTATGTTAGTCCTCTATCCAATGGTATATTCAAATCTTTGCCCCCAAGACCGGAAAGATTCGAAATAATTCGATTTTTCCTGAAAAAGTTCAATTTTTGTGTATTTGAACATTTTCGAACCTCAAAAAGTTCGAAAACTCGTGGGATGTCACTTCAATTTTTTCGTTGGAATAAGTTCTATAAGTAGTCTTCTATCCAGTGGTGTTTTCGAATTTTTTCCCCTGTGACCGAAAAGATTCGAAATAGTCAAATATTTCGTATAAAATCACGGCCACACTTCGATATGACATTCGGTACAACTTTTTCAAGATTTGGCTGGAATTTTGCTGGCATTGCGGTGGCATTTCGCAAGTGCCTGATTTTTCATTTTTCTCGGTGACAGTTGCCATATTTTTTCTCAATTACTTTCTTAAATTATTTGCGTCAGCACGTACTATTCTTTGCTTTCTAACGCAAATTCATTGTTCCACAACAATTTGAGCCTTTTTAATATTGCAATGAGCAATACCATTTGACAACATATGGTCAACCATCGTACTTTTTGGATTTATTTAAAATTGAATATGAATGATAAAATCTGGCAACATCAAGCACAAAATACTAAAACCAGGCACTTGTGAAATTTCAGACACTTCGTAAAAACCTATTTCTCAATGTTTTTACTTCCTTTGAAGCAGAAAACTAAAATATATACTCTTTTGTATGATTGAAATGACGTCTTTTTGGTAAAAATCAAGAACGGTTGGGACTGGTGATGAGGGGTCAAATTTCGCAAGTGCCTGATTTTTCATTTTTTCCGATAACAGTTGCCATATATTTTCGCAACAATTTTTCGAGACTATTTGCGTCAGCACTTACTAATCTTTGCTTTCTAACGCAAATTCATTGTTCCACAACAATTTGAGCGTTTTTAATATTGCAATGAGCAATACCACTTGACAACATATGGTCAACCATCGTACTTTCTGGATTTATTTAAAATTGAATATGAATAATAAAATCTGGCAACCTCAATCACAAAATACTAAAACCAGGCACTTGTGAAATTTCAGGCACTTCGTAAATACCTATTTTTCGATGTTTTTATACACTTTGAAGCAGAAAACTAAAATATACACTCTTTTTTATCATTGAAATGTCGTCTTTTTGGTAAAAAACAAAAACGATTGGGTGGGTGATGAGGGGTCAAATTTCGCAAGTGCCTGATTTTTCATTTTTTTCGATAACAGTTGCCATATATTTTCGCAACAATTTTTCTAAATTATTTGAGTCAGAACTAACTAATCATTGCTTTTTAAAATAAATTCCAAGTTCTACAACAATTTCAGCGTTTTTACAATGAGCAATTTCATTTGACAACATATAGATACCCATCGTACTTTTGGGATTTATTTGAAATTGAATAGGAATGATAAAATCTGGCAACATCAAGCACAAAATATTAAAACCAGGCACTTGTGAAATTTCAGGCACTTTGTAAAAACCTATTTCTCGATGTTTATACTTACTTTGAAGCAGAAAACTGAAATATACACTCTTTTGTATGATTGAAATGACGTCTTTTTTGGTATAAAAGAAAAACGATTGGGACTTGTGATGAGGGGTCAAATTTCGCGAGTGCCTGATTTTTCATTTTTTTCGATTACAGTTGCCCTATATTTTTGCAATACTTTTCATAAAATCATTTTCGTCAGAACTTAGTACTTACTATACTTTGCTTTCTCGGTAAAATGTTTTTTAAGACAATCCGATGTATATTGAGTGCTATTCTTATCGCTAATTTCAATTCGACGTCTGCCCGAAGGTGGTGCAAGTATTGATATTTGAAGTGAGTACATGCCTGTTCAAAACGCCCAGATGGAAGATTGAACAGGGCGGAGACAACAAAAATTCAATCACATTTGGAACGTTGTCGCACTGCATCGTCGCCACTCATATACTCTGACATTCCGATGCATGAATTTTGCTTTCTGGAAAATAATAATTGGAGTGTCTGTTAAATTGCGAAATGTATACGGGAGCACGTACAATACCAATATTGCGTTTGCAAGCGTTGGTATCATGATACATGTGAGAAAGTATCGGAAGCGAAATTGTGGAAGTATAAAATTTGTATTCGGTAAGTCGGTGTTGCAATGGTGGGTATTTTCAGGGCGCTCCCGTAGTAGCCTATGTGCTCCAAGATGGCGCACAACCTAATACCTCTATCTTGGTACACATACTATGTTCGGGTCGTGTGTCAAGTATGTGCACATACTACGGGAGCACCATTTTCTGCACAACCTATTCTGATGCTCATTCGCGACATGAAGAAACTATTCGCCCGACATATAAAAGTAGAAAAATATACACAAAACCTTTTCATGTTTAATTTCAGAACTGACATTTAAAATTTTCAATTCTTAGATCTGTGGTTTTACTTAATTGCAAGATACGTAAATCATATCATGTTAAAATAGAACAAATAGTAAAGATTTTTATTGGATACTCAATATTTCTGATAATTTTCAAACTGAAAGCTTCAATTAGTGTTCACTCATACACTTCCTTTGTGAAGTTGTGTTTTTAATGTTTTATCTCCTTAATAAATTTAAATTCAAATTTATATCCCCAATTACTGATGGAGAAAGATCTATAATCAAGAGTTTAATACGGCTTCTGTGACATTAAAAACAATTACTGTTTTACGTTTTTATATATTTGCAACTTTTTGAATAACGCAAAAAAATTCGTTGGCTGACTACTGGCGTGTTGAATATTGAATGATTTTTATTGTAACATTCGTTTAACGATGCTTTTAAGCCTAACTTTGGGCATATCAGCTACCTGATGTCATTCGCAGAGCGAATTTTGTTTAGGTGACATTGCCATCTCGTATTTACCATCCTGTAGCCATTCTTCTTATTTAGGAACTACGTGTTTTACAGTTAGCTGTTACAGCATGAAATAATGTACAAATAATTCTACGTAATCTATCCATGAAATCCATTCCATAAACTATCCATGAAAATATATTACAGTCAGATCTTCAGTTTGTAAAGAATATTATACAACAGCAACAGCAAGTGATTGAATATCTTTATTGTAGCCGTGGTTGAACACCGCTGGTTGTCAATATAGATTTTGCACAGGCTTTTATACATTTTGTGAACGGTAAATTATGTTCTAAATTAGGGGATAATGTGACTCGGATACGTATTATAAAAGATTCTATACGACATAAGTCAATTGTTTCTGTTATGTAGTTTATATGAAGTCATAGGCCAAATTACATGATTAAAATCGTCGTCCGATAATATTTAAAACTGGAATTTCGAACTAATATTGCCAGAAGACAAATTAGGTTGTTTATAACGATGCGATTGTTACTACCTGGGTAATATATTACGTCGAAATGTTTATAACAAATTAGAAGAAGTTTTGAACCAATTTCAAGGGTTCCGAACATTACTATAAAGATGTCGTCTGAATAACTAATATTTTCCACAGATCTGTCAAATTTAAACCCGTATTTAAATAATACATATGTCATACTTTTGAATTAATAAAAATAAACAACACAATGTCATTCAAACTTTACAATATTCAAATAATTTTGCAAAAGCGTGATTGGTTCAATTAAATACCGATTTCCGGATGCAGATACTGATGTTAGAAGTTTAATTCCATTTATGCTAAGTGGAGCTCTCATACAAACATTGACTTTTATAAAATAATGCAATAGGGAAACAACATATAAAAAAAACGACAAAAATTATGAAGATATGGCAGATTTTATCATTCCTATTAAATTTTAAATAAATCCAAAAAGTACCATGATTATCTATATGTTGTCAAATGATATTGCTCATTGCATTATTAAAAACGCTGAAATTGTTGTAGAACTAGGAATTTCCTTTGAAAAGCAATGATTAGTACGTTCTGACTCAAATAATTTAGAAAAATTGTTGCGATAATATATTGCAACTGTTATCCGAAAAAATGAAAAATCAGGCACTTGCGAAATTTGACCCCTCATCACCAGTCCCAATCGTTTTTGTTTTTTACCAAAAAGACGTCATTTCAATCATACAAAAGAGTGTATATTTTAGTTTTCTGCTTCAAAGTAAGTAAAAACATTGAGAAATAGGTTTTTACAAAGTGCCTGTAATTTCACAAGTGCCTGGTTTTAGTATTTTGTGCTTGAGGTTGCCAGATTTTATCATTCATATTCAATTTCAAATAAATCCAGAAAGTACGATGGTTGACCATATGTTGTCAAATGGTATTGCTCATTGCAATATTAAAAACGCTCAAATTGTTGTGGAACAATGAATTTGCGTTAGAAAGAAAGAATAGTAAGTGCTGACGCAAATAATTTAGAGAAATTGTTGCGAAAATATATGGCAACTGTTATCGAAAAAAATGGAAAACCAGGTACTTGCGAAATTTGACCCCTCATCACCAGTCCCAATCGTTTTTGCTTTTTACCAAAAAGACGTCATTTCAATCATACAAAAGAGTGTATATTTTAGTTTTCTGCTACAAAGTAAGTAAAAACATTGAAAAATAGGTTTTTACGAAGTGCCTGAAATTTCACAAGTGCCTGGTTTTAGTATTTTGTGCTTGATGTTGCCAGATTTTATCATTCATATTCAATTTTGAATAAACACAGAAAGTACGATGGTTGACCATATGTTGTCAAATGGTATTGCTCATTGCAATATTAAAAACGCTCAAATTGTTGTGGAACAATGAATTTGTGTTAGAAAGCAAAGAATAGTACGTGCTGACGCAAATAATTTAAGAAAGTAATTGAGAAAAAATATGGCAACTGTCACCGAGAAAAATCAGGCACTTGCGAAACATGACAATCAATCAATCAATCAATCATCATTTATTCGTCAACACAATCAATATATATATATCACGGAAATATGGCAAGATATATAATAAGTAAAAAAAAGAACTTCATATGTGTGACAGGAGTCGCGAGGGACCACGAAAGGTCTTCGAGCAGCGACACCTACGATGCTGATTCAGCTTAATAAATAAACTTAGTTAACGCCTATGCTTCTAATCATTATTATTTACAAAACATAAATAACATGACATCAAACAATTGAATAATATGTGTATATAACAAATTTGAAAAACATGAAAACCACCAAATAGCTATTACAAACTTCTTTATATATATATATGAAGGAGAAAAAATCCAAATTCAAAGAAAAACCAATCGTAATAAAAGTAGATGAAACTCTAATAAACGTACAATTAGGTTTTTAGACCGTGTACATAACATTGAGGTGTATATAACACCTCAATGGTACATAACGGCATAATCGTTGCCAACCAAGCAGCAATTTTGAAAAATAAGGACTCCGTGACACGTCTCCATCAGTCACAAACAGTATTGTATTTTACCAAAATGTTGTAAATTCAACCATACAAAGTGTATATATTTAATTTTCTGCTTTAGAGTAATCAGATACATTGTAAAATAATAGGTTTTGACCAAGTGCCTGAAATTTCACAAGTGCCTGATTTCTATATTTTGTTATCAATGTTGCCACATTTTACTATTGAAAAATTATTTATACCCTAATAAATTGGAAATAATATTGTTTTATTGTAATATAGGGATGCAAAAAATTATTTGAAGTCTAATTACATTGTCAGGTAAATTGGAAACCCCAATGACGTACGGTAAAAATAAAAAAATATCAAAGTGCCTGAAATGGTGCCTGAAAAAGTGCCTGAATTCGCAAGTGCCTGGTTTTAGGGAGACCCCTCAAATTCATATTCTACAACGGGTGCCTAAAACTAATATTATTAGCAACTTTGTCTGTACGTTTCAAACCTTACTCTAGGTTTTGTTCTCTTTCCCGATTCTATAATCAGTTACTTTTACTTTTGTTTTTATCTATTTTTTTATCGTCTATTGCTGAATATGGAGTCGAAATAAACTTATACTTATACTATACTGCTATACTTTTGCATATAATTTTCTTAAAAATATTACGGAAACAGTACGAAAATAAGCTTACTTAATACAGTACCGGTACTGCAATACTGATATACCGTACTGCAATACTAACCACTAGATACCAAACAGAAAAATGCTGCAAAACCAGAAAACAGCAAAATGATCGACTTAGTCTAGTCTACTTATCCCACACGAACTCCTTAGTTTTGGTTTCCATTACGCAGATAAGTTGGCAGGAATACACAAAATAAAGTACGTAAACACTTAGTAGAGATCAACACCCTGCAGACAATCTTCTAAGACTGTAAGATCAAGAAATGTGACGATTCCAACAAACGTTTTCAGCGCGATGCATGAAGCGTGCAACAATTTACCAACATGTGTGTTCCCATTAACATGTGGTTCATGAAATAGAGGTGGGAGGAGTCGAAATGAAAGGTTATTCGCTTATGATCAAAACCCATCAAGCTGTTTGTGAGAAATATTTACAATATGATACAATTTATTGGACACGTTAGTGAACATAACGATCGTTTCAATATTATATTGTTGTTGTTGTTCTTTGACACTTTTTGGGCACATCGGGTGGAAAACCTAAAAAATCGCTTCTCTCTTTGATTACCGGCCAATGGACCTTTCCCCGACCTTTGACCCCAAAATAATTTCAACTCCACTTTGCCATTGCAAAATTTTCGGGGCTTATTTTGAGAATGGTTTCGCGAGTTGGCACCTGTAATATGGGGTATTTGTTTCAAACTATCATTATAATTCATCGCATAAAACAATCTGTTTTTTAAAAGTACCGGTGAAGAATTTTAGCCCAGTTTATCACCGCTATTTTTACACCAGTTTTTCATTACTGCAATTAAACTAGATCTCCTAAGAAGACAAAGTGAACATTGAATTATCTGATTTATATTCAAATTTCCGAAACACAACTGAAAACCAACGAATAGAGTTAAAAAATGCGA